CTTTAGGCCTAACCATGCAACAAATGGATGATTTGCTGAACATGTATGTGCCATTTGTTTGTGTTACAAAGCAAAATTAGCTGCAGAAATGAGGCTTTTATCAGAGACTGCCATTTTGGATTTCTACAACCACTGATAACAGTTTCCAATAGCTATTCGTATGCAGTGCTAAATCATATTGACAAAAACGGTTATGGATAGCGAAACGTATGCGTACACGTAATACACTTTATCCCAAGCTGTATATCCTCAGCATGCAAAAGCCTCAATTGAATTCATAATACATGTAAACTCAAGGGACACCTCATTTACGGCTGCAGTATATGCCAGTTTGGTAACTTCAACTTCGGATGCGCAAATTGATATGGGTCGCGGGTCTTTTGAGATAATTGAACGCTCATCAAAGGCGCATCAACGAGTAAAAAAAAAACAGTCGCACAACGCCGCATGTTAATTACGAGCAGAATTGGCATTTGCATAACATCGCAGTTACAAGACGTTTGATGTCAGCCATTTTGTCCCCAAGGACCTTTGACCAGTTTATCGAGATACCGAACTGGCTTATTGTGGTAGCGACTGTGCAAAGAAATGCCCCATTCCTGCCGACAAGTTTGAGGTGTCCATCAGTTGCAATACAGAATGATTCAAATTGCGTTTTGCCCTTCACCGACACATTCCCTTCTGTTAATTGTTCGGTTTCGTTACATCAGAATCGAAGCAGCCAGCCGTCCCTGGTTCCAGTCCTACCCAGGCCTCGGACATCACAGTGTACAGTGTATAAAAAATATGTGAGTGAAGGGCAAAACCCAATATTGTATTCGGGCGTTTCACAATGCAGTGTGCATCCAAGAGTTTGCCACAGAGAGTTCATTTTTCCCGGTGCATTGTGGAAAATGGTCGACAAATTCGCAGCGCGGGACATTTGAAATTGTGAGGGTTTTTTTTCTAGTCATTAGTTTCGAAAGCATGATTTGAGTATCTGTTTGCCCTTTTCGTTGTCTTTTATCAATAAGGAGTTTTTTGTAAGGCGGCTGAATGCTATGCCCCAATCTATAAAAAAAATTAGCTCGTTGTCTACTGACACTCGTTCAAATGGGCCATGTTTTGTCGACCGTAAACTTGAATAATGGACTCTCCACAGCAAACTCTTGGTGGCGCACTGCATTGTGAAACGCCTGAATTCAAATTTCCCTGAGGTGTACTCCATCCTTTAAATAATGCAGAATAATGTAATGAGGCATGCAAAAGTGGGACATTTTTAATAAGAAACATAAATATTCCATGCAATAATTTCGAGTACAAATTTAACGAAATCTGAAGTGATTTTTGGGGACGGAAATCTACATTATTTAAAAAGATTCAAGCTACAAACGAAAGGACGACATTTTTGACATGCAAAGCAATCTATCAAATTGTGGACCTGTCTTTGGCGTCGGCTGATTGCCTGAGAGTTCCAACGTCAGCAGGAAAGAAACAAAGACAATTATCAACAATTTGTGACTTAAAATCGTCATCGATGCAGATTTAAGAGGAAAATACACAGGTTTCTAATTTTATTTTCTAAACCCCCCCCCCAGTATCATTTTTAAAAAAATTCTTAGAAAACTTTAATCCCCCACCTTTGGGAGTTTCGACTCAATATAGATCCAAAGTTAAGATTTTGTTTCCATTGGTTTGAATGTTAAAGACTTCTACTAATTCTGAGTTAACACAAGGAGCCAATCTGGAAAAAAATCTTAGATTTCCACACAGAAGTGAAGTGACTTACTTTTTAAACTCATCTCAAAAAAAGCTAGAGACTTTAATTTGAACTTCCAATCAGTATGCTCCGACTGCCATCAGTGAAATGATGGACATTAGAGAAAACTGACTGAAGCATTGTGCGAATAAAGAGTTTTGGCATGAGAACAGTTACGGTTGGCGTACCGGATAAGTCATCGGTTTGTGTGGTCTTGTGACGTCCTGCATAACTCGCTATCTGCTACGCTTGTATCGCTCGCGCGCTGCATGCTGATGCAAAATGCGTAGCAAACTGTAAATTTTTTACTGCCTTTCTTGTCAATTTCTTGAACCATGCAACAAATGGATGATTTGCTGAACATGTATGTGCCATTTGTTTGTGTTACAAAGCAAAATTAGCTGCAGAAATGAGGCTTTTATCAGAGACTGCCATTTTGGATTTCTACAACCACTGATAACAGTTTCCACTAGCTATTCGTATGCAGTGCTAAATCATATTGACAAAAACGGTTATGGATAGCGAAACGTATGCGTACACGTAATACACTTCATCCCAAGCTGTATATCCTCAACATGCAAAAGCCTCAATTGCATTCATAATACATGTAAACTCAAGGGACACCTCATTTACGGCTGCAGTATATGCCAGTTTGGTAACTTCAACTTCGGGTGCGCACATTGATATGGGTCGCGGGTCTTTTGAGATAATTGAACGCTCATCAAAGGCGCATGAACGAGTAAAGAAACAGTCGCACAACGCCGCATGTTAATTACGAGCAGAATTGGCATTTGCATAACATCGCAGTTACAAGACGTTTGATGTCAGCCATTTTGTCCTCAAGGACCTTTGACCTGGACTACTTTATCGAGATACCGAACTGGCTTATTGTGGTAGCGACTGTGCAAAGAAATGCCCCATTCCTGCCGACAAGTTTGAGGTGTCCATCAGTTGCAATACAGAATGATTCAAATTGCGTTTTGCCCTTCACCGACACATTCCATTCTGTTAATTGTTCGGTTTCGTTACATCAGAATCGAAGCAGCCAGCCGTCCCTGGTTCGAGTCCTACCCAGGCCTCGGACAACACAGTGTACAGTGTATAAAAAATAAGTGAGTGAAGGGCAAAAGCCAATATTGAATTCGGGCGTTTCACAATGCAGTGTGCATCCAAGAGTTTGCCACAGAGAGTTCATTTTTCCCGGTGCATTGTGGAAAATGGTCGACAAATTCGCAGCGCGGGACATTTGAAATTGTGAGTTTTTTTTTCTAGTCATTAGTTTCGAAAGCATGATTTGAGTATCTGTTTGCCCTTTTCGTTGTCTTTTATCAATACGGAGTATTTTCTAAGGCGGCTGAATGCTATGCCCCAATCTATAAAAAAAATTAGCTCGTTGTCTACTGACACTCGTTCAAATGGGCCATGTTTTGTCGACCGTAAACTTGAATAATGGACTCTCCACAGCAAACTCTTGGTGGCGCACTGCATTGTGAAACGCCTGAATTCAAATTTCCCTGAGGTGTACTCCATCCTTTAAATAATGCAGAATAATGTAATGAGGCATGCAAAAGTCGGACATTTTTAAAAAGAAACATAAATATTCCATGCAATAATTTTGAGTACAAATTTAACGAAATCTGAAGTGATTTTTGGGGACGGAAATCTACATTATTTAAAAAGATTCAAGCTACAAACGAAAGGACGACATTTTTGACATGCAAAGCAATCTATCAAATTGTGGACCTGTCTCTGGCGGCGGCTGATTGCCTGAGAGTTCCAATGTGAGCAGGAAAGAAACAAAGACAAGTATCAACATTTTGTGACTTAAAATCGTCATCGATGCAGATTTAAGAGGAAAATACACAGGTTTCTAATTTTATTTTCAAAACCCTCCCCCCCCCCCCCCCGTAACATTTTTTTAAAAATTCTTAGAAAACTTTAATCCCCCACCTTTGGGAGTTTCGACTCAATATAGATCCAAAGTTAAGATTTTGTTTCCATTGGTTTGAATGTTAAAGACTTCTACTAATTCTGAGTTAACACAAGGAGCCAATCTGGAAAAAAATCTTAGATTTCCACACAGAAGTGAAGTGACTTACTTTTTAAACTCATCTCAAAAAAAGCTAGAGACTTTAATTTGAACTTCCAATCAGTATGCTCTGAATGCCATCAGTGAAATGATGGACATTAGAAAAAACTGACTGAAGCATTGTGCGAATAAAGAGTTTTGGCATGAGAACAGTTACGGTTGGCGTACCAGATAAGTCATCGGTTTGTGTGGTCTTGTGACGTCCTGCATAACTCGCTATCTGCTACTCTTGTATCGCTCGCTGCGTGCTGATGCGAAATGCGTAGCAAACTGTAAATTTTTTACTGCCTTTCTTGTCAATTTCTTTAGGCCTAACCATGCAACAAATGGATGATTTGCTGAACATGTATGTGCCATTTGTTTGTGTTACAAAGCAAAATTAGCTGCAGAAATGAGGCTTTTATCAGAGACTGCCATTTTGGATTTCTACAACCACTGATAACAGTTTCCAATAGCTATTCGTATGCAGTGCTAAATCATATTGACAAAAACGGTTATGGATAGCGAAACGTATGCGTACACGTAATACACTTCATCCCAAGCTGTATATCCTCAGCATGCAAAAGCCTCAATTGAATTCATAATACATGTAAACTCAAGGGACACCTCATTTACGGCTGCAGTATATGCCAGTTTGGTAACTTCAACTTCGGATGCGCATATTGATATGGGTCGCGGGTCTTTTGAAATAATTGAAAGCTCATCAAAGGCGCATAAACGAGTAAAGAAACAGTCGCACAACGCCGCATGTTAATTACGAGCAGAATTGGCATTTGCATAACATCGCGGTTACAAGACGTTTGATGTCAGCCATTTTGTCCCCAGGGACCTTTGACCTGGACTACTTTATCGAGATACCGAACTGGCTTATTGTGGTAGCGACTGTGCAAAGAAATGCCCCATTCCTGCCGACAAGTTTGAGGTGTCCATCAGTTGCAATACAGAATGATTCAAATTGCGTTTTGCCCTTCACCAACACATTCCATTTTGTTAATTGTTCGGTTTCGTTACATCAGAATCGAAGCAGCCAGCCGTCCCTGGTTCGAGTCCTACCCAGGCCTGGGACAACACAGTGTACAGTGTATAAAAAAATATGTGAGTGAAGGGCAAAACCCAATATTGAATTCGGGCGTTTCACAATGCAGTGTGCATCCAAGAGTTTGCCATAGAGAGTTCATTTTTCCCGGTGCATTGTGGGAAATGGTCGACAAATTCGCAGCGCGGGACATTTGAAATTGTTAGTGTTTTTTTCTAGTCATTAGTTTCGAAAGCATGATTTTGAGTATCTGTTTGCCCTTTTCGTTGTCTTTTATCAATACGGAGTTTTTTCTAAGGCGGCTGAATGCTATGCCCCAATCTATAAAAAAAAATTAGCTCGTTGTCTACTGACACTCGTTCAAATGGGCCATGTTTTGTCGACAGTAAACTTGAATAATGGACTCTCCACAGCAAACTCTTGGTGGCGCACTGCATTGTGAAACGCCTGAATTCAAATTTCCCTGAGGTGTACTCCATCCTTTAAATAATGCAGAATAATGTAATTAGGCATGCAAAAGTGGGACATTTTTAAAAAGAAACATAACTATTCCATGCAATAATTTCGAGTACAAATTTAACGAAATCTGAAGTGATTTTTGGGGACGGAAATCTTCATTATTTAAAACGATTCAAGCTACAAACGAAAGGACGACATTTTTGACATGCAAAGCAATCTATCAAATTGTGGACCTGTCTTTGGCGGCGGCTGATTGCCTGAGAGTTCCAATGTGAGCAGGAAAGAAACAAAGACAATTATCAACAATTTGTGACTTAAAATCGTCATCGATGCAGATTTAAGAGGAAAATACACAGGTTTATAATTTTATTTTCTAAACCCTCCCCCCCCCCGTAACATTTTTAAAAAAATTCTTAGAAAACTTTAATCCCCCAACTTTGGGAGTTTCGACTCAATATAGATCCAAAGTTAAGATTTTGTTTCCATTGGTTTGAATGTTAAAGACTTCTACTAATTCTGAGTTAACACAAGGAGCCAATCTGGAAAAAAAATCTTAGATTTCCACACAGAAGTGAAGTGACTTACTTTTTAAACTCATCTCAAAAAAAGCTAGAGACTTTAATTTGAACTTCCAATCAGTATGCTCCGACTGCCATCAGTGAAATGATGGACATTAGAGAAAACTGACTGAAGCATTGTGCGAATAAAGAGTTTTGGCATGAGAACAGTTACGGTTGGCGTACCAGATAAGTCATCGGTTTGTGTGGTCTTGTGACGTCCTGCATAACTCGCTATCTGCTACGCTTGTATCGCTCGCTGCGTGCTGATGCGAAATGCGTAGCAAACTGTAAAGTTTTTACTGCCTTTCTTGTCAATTTCTTTAGGCCTAACCATGCAACAAATGGATGATTTGCTGAACATGTATGTGCCATTTGTTTGTGTTACAAAGCAAAATTAGCTGCAGAAATGAGGCTTTTATCAGAGACTGCCATTTTGGATTTCTACAACCACTGATAACAGTTTCCAATAGCTATTCGTATGCAGTGCTAAATCATATTGACAAAAACGGTTATGGATAGCGAAACGTATGCGTACACGTAATACACTTCATCCCAAGCTGTATATCCTCAGCATGCAAAAGCCTCAATTGAATTCATAATACATGTAAACTCAAGGGACACCTCATTTACGGCTGCAGTATATGCCAGTTTGGTAACTTCAACTTCGGATGCGCATATTGATATGGGTCGCGGGTCTTTTGAAATAATTGAAAGCTCATCAAAGGCGCATAAACGAGTAAAGAAACAGTCGCACAACGCCGCATGTTAATTACGAGCAGAATTGGCATTTGCATAACATCGCGGTTACAAGACGTTTGATGTCAGCCATTTTGTCCCCAAGGACCTTTGACCTGGACTACTTTATCGAGATACCGAACTGGCTTATTGTGGTAGCGACTGTGCAAAGAAATGCCCCATTCCTGCCGACAAGTTTGAGGTGTCCATCAGTTGCAATACAGAATGATTCAAATTGCGTTTTGCCCTTCACCAACACATTCCATTCTGTTAATTGTTCGGTTTCGTTACATCAGAATCGAAGCAGCCAGCCGTCCCTGGTTCGAGTCCTACCCAGGCCTCGGACAACACAGTGTACAGTGTATAAAAAATATGTGAGTGAAGGGCAAAACCCAATATTGAATTCGGGCGTTTCACAATGCAGTGTGCATCCAAGAGTTTGCCACAGAGAGTTCATTTTTCCCGGTGCATTGTGGGAAATGGTCGACAAATTCGCAGCGCGGGACATTTGAAATCGTTAGTTTTTTTTTCTAGTCATTAGTTTCGAAAGCATGATTTGAGTATCTGTTTGCCCTTTTCGTTGTCTTTTATCAATACGGAGTTTTTTCTAAGGCGGCTGAATGCTATGCCCCAATCTATAAAAATTTTTTAGCTCGTTGTCTACTGACACTCGTTCAAATGGGCCATGTTTTGTCGACCGTAAACTTGAATAATGGACTCTCCACAGCAAACTCTTGGTGGCGCACTGCATTGTGAAACGCCTGAATTCAAATTTCCCTGAGGTGTACTCCGTCCTTTAAATAATGCAGAATAATGTAATGAGGCATGCAAAAGTGGGACATTTTTAATAAGAAACATAAATACTCCATGCAATAATTTCGAGTACAAATTTAGCGAAATCTGAAGTGATTTTTGGGGACGGAAATCTACATTATTTAAAAAGATTCAAGCTACAAACGAAAGGACGACATTTTTGACATGCAAAGCAATCTATCAAATTGTGGACCTGTCTCTGGCGGCGGCTGATTGCCTGAGAGTTCCAATGTGAGCAGGAAAGAAACAAAGACAATTATCAACATTTTGTGACTTAAAATCGTCATCGATGCAGATTTAAGAGGAAAATACACAGGTTTATAATTTTATTTTCTAAACCCTCCCCCCCCCCCCGTAACATTTTTTAAAAAATTCTTAGAAAACTTTAATCCCCCACCTTTGGGAGTTTCGACTCAATATAGATCCAAAGTTAAGATTTTGTTTCCATTGGTTTGAATGTTAAAGACTTCTACTAATTCTGAGTTAACACAAGGAGCCAATCTGGAAAAAAAATCTTAGATTTCCACACAGAAGTGAAGTGACTTACTTTTTAAACTCATCTCAAAAAAAGCTAGAGACTTTAATTTGAACTTCCAATCAGTATGCTCTGAATGCCATCAGTGAAATGATGGACATTAGAGAAAACTGACTGAAGCATTGTGCGAATAAAGAGTTTTGGCATGAGAACAGTTACGGTTGGCGTACCGGATAACTCATCGGTTTGTGTGGTCTTGTGACGTCCTGCATAACTCGCTATCTGCTACGCTTGTATCGCTCGCTGCGTGCTGATGCGAAATGCGTAGCAAACTGTAAAGTTTTTACTGCCTTTCTTGTCAATTTCTTTAGGCCTAACCATGCAACAAATGGATGATTTGCTGAACATGTATGTGCCATTTGTTTGTGTTACAAAGCAAAATTAGCTGCAGAAATGAGGCTTTTATCAGAGACTGCCATTTTGGATTTCTACAACCACTGATAACAGTTTCCAATAGCTATTCGTATGCAGTGCTAAATCATATTGACAAAAACGGTTATGGATAGCGAAACGTATGCGTACACGTAATACACTTCATCCCAAGCTGTATATCCTCAGCATGCAAAAGCCTCAATTGAATTCATAATACATGTAAACTCAAGGGACACCTCATTTACGGCTGCAGTATATTCCAGTTTGGTAACTTCAACTTCGGATGCGCATATTGATATGGGTCGAGGGTCTTTTGAAATAATTGAAAGCTCATCAAAGGCGCATAAACGAGTAAAGAAACAGTCGCACAACGCCGCATGTTAATTACGAGCAGAATTGGCATTTGCATAACATCGCGGTTACAAGACGTTTGATGTCAGCCATTTTGTCCCCAAGGACCTTTGACCTGGACTACTTTATCGAGATACCGAACTGGCTTATTGTGGTAGCGACTGTGCAAAGAAATGCCCCATTCCTGCCGACAAGTTTGAGGTGTCCATCTGTTGCAATACAGAATGATTCAAATTGCGTTTTGCCCTTCACCGACACATTCCCTTCTGTTAATTGTTCGGTTTCGTTACATCAGAATCGAAGCAGCCAGCTGTCCCTGGTTCGAGTCCTACCCAGGCCTCGGACAACACAGTGTACAGTGTATAAAAAATATGTGAGTGAAGGGCAAAACCCAATATTGAATTCGGGCGTTTCACAATGCAGTGTGCATCCAAGAGTTTGCCACAGAGAGTTCATTTTTCCCGGTGCATTGTGGGAAATGGTCGACAAATTCGCAGCGCGGGACATTTGAAATCGTTAGTTTTTTTTTCTAGTCATTAGTTTCGAAAGCATGATTTGAGTATCTGTTTGCCCTTTTCGTTGTCTTTTATCAATACGGAGTTTTTTCTAAGGCGGCTGAATGCTATGCCCCAATCTATAAAAAAAAATTAGCTCGTTGTCTACTGACACTCGTTCAAATGGGCCATGTTTTGTCGACCGTAAACTTGAATAATGGACTCTCCACAGCAAACTCTTGGTGGCGCACTGCATTGTGAAACGCCTGAATTCAAATTTCCCTGAGGTGTACTCCGTCCTTTAAATAATGCAGAATAATGTAATGAGGCATGCAAAAGTGGGACATTTTTAATAAGAAACATAAATACTCCATGCAATAATTTCGAGTACAAATTTAGCGAAATCTGAAGTGATTTTTGGGGACGGAAATCTACATTATTTAAAAAGATTCAAGCTACAAACGAAAGGACGACATTTTTGACATGCAAAGCAATCTATCAAATTGTGGACCTGTCTCTGGCGGCGGCTGATTGCCTGAGAGTTCCAATGTGAGCAGGAAAGAAACAAAGACAATTATCAACATTTTGTGACTTAAAATCGTCATCGATGCAGATTTAAGAGGAAAATACACAGGTTTATAATTTTATTTTCTAAACCCTCCCCCCCCCCCCCGTAACATTTTTTAAAAAATTCTTAGAAAACTTTAATCCCCCACCTTTGGGAGTTTCGACTCAATATAGATCCAAAGTTAAGATTTTGTTTCCATTGGTTTGAATGTTAAAGACTTCTACTAATTCTGAGTTAACACAAGGAGCCAATCTGGAAAAAAAATCTTAGATTTCCACACAGAAGTGAAGTGACTTACTTTTTAAACTCATCTCAAAAAAAGCTAGAGACTTTAATTTGAACTTCCAATCAGTATGCTCCGACTGCCATCAGTGAAATGATGGACATTAGAGAAAACTGACTGAAGCATTGTGCGAATAAAGAGTTTTGGCATGAGAACAGTTACGGTTGGCGTACCGGATAACTCATCGGTTTGTGTGGTCTTGTGACGTCCTGCATAACTCGCTATCTGCTACGCTTGTATCGCTCGCTGCGTGCTGATGCGAAATGCGTAGCAAACTGTAAAGTTTTTACTGCCTTTCTTGTCAATTTCTTTAGGCCTAACCATGCAACAAATGGATGATTTGCTGAACATGTATGTGCCATTTGTTTGTGTTACAAAGCAAAATTAGCTGCAGAAATGAGGCTTTTATCAGAGACTGCCATTTTGGATTTCTACAACCACTGATAACAGTTTCCAATAGCTATTCGTATGCAGTGCTAAATCATATTGACAAAAACGGTTATGGATAGCGAAACGTATGCGTACACGTAATACACTTCATCCCAAGCTGTATATCCTCAGCATGCAAAAGCCTCAATTGAATTCATAATACATGTAAACTCAAGGGACACCTCATTTACGGCTGCAGTATATGCCAGTTTGGTAACTTCAACTTCGGATGCGCATATTGATATGGGTCGCGGGTCTTTTGAAATAATTGAAAGCTCATCAAAGGCGCATAAACGAGTAAAGAAACAGTCGCACAACGCCGCATGTTAATTACGAGCAGAATTGGCATTTGCATAACATCGCGGTTACAAGACGTTTGATGTCAGCCATTTTGTCCCCAAGGACCTTTGACCTGGACTACTTTATCGAGATACCGAACTGGCTTATTGTGGTAGCGACTGTGCAAAGAAATGCCCCATTCCTGCCGACAAGTTTGAGGTGTCCATCAGTTGCAATACAGAATGATTCAAATTGCGTTTTGCCCTTCACCAACACATTCCATTCTGTTAATTGTTCGGTTTCGTTACATCAGAATCGAAGCAGCCAGCCGTCCCTGGTTCGAGTCCTACCCAGGCCTCGGACAACACAGTGTACAGTGTATAAAAAAATATGTGAGTGAAGGGCAAAACCCAATATTGAATTCGGGCGTTTCACAATGCAGTGTGCATCCAAGAGTTTGCCACAGAGAGTTCATTTTTCCCGGTGCATTGTGGGAAATGGTCGACAAATTCGCAGCGCGGGACATTTGAAATCGTTAGTTTTTTTTTCTAGTCATTAGTTTCGAAAGCATGATTTGAGTATCTGTTTGCCCTTTTCGTTGTCTTTTATCAATACGGAGTTTTTTCTAAGGCGGCTGAATGCTATGCCCCAATCTATAAAAAAATTTTAGCTCGTTGTCTACTGACACTCGTTCAAATGGGCCATGTTTTGTCGACCGTAAACTTGAATAATGGACTCTCCACAGCAAACTCTTGGTGGCGCACTGCATTGTGAAACGCCTGAATTCAAATTTCCCTGAGGTGTACTCCGTCCTTTAAATAATGCAGAATAATGTAATGAGGCATGCAAAAGTGGGACATTTTTAATAAGAAACATAAATACTCCATGCAATAATTTCGAGTACAAATTTAGCGAAATCTGAAGTGATTTTTGGGGACGGAAATCTACATTATTTAAAAAGATTCAAGCTACAAACGAAAGGACGACATTTTTGACATGCAAAGCAATCTATCAAATTGTGGACCTGTCTCTGGCGGCGGCTGATTGCCTGAGAGTTCCAATGTGAGCAGGAAAGAAACAAAGACAATTATCAACATTTTGTGACTTAAAATCGTCATCGATGCAGATTTAAGAGGAAAATACACAGGTTTATAATTTTATTTTCTAAACCCTCCCCCCCCCCCCCGTAACATTTTTTAAAAAATTCTTAGAAAACTTTAATCCCCCACCTTTGGGAGTTTCGACTCAATATAGATCCAAAGTTAAGATTTTGTTTCCATTGGTTTGAATGTTAAAGACTTCTACTAATTCTGAGTTAACACAAGGAGCCAATCTGGAAAAAAAATCTTAGATTTCCACACAGAAGTGAAGTGACTTACTTTTTAAACTCATCTCAAAAAAAGCTAGAGACTTTAATTTGAACTTCCAATCAGTATGCTCTGAATGCCATCAGTGAAATGATGGACATTAGAGAAAACTGACTGAAGCATTGTGCGAATAAAGAGTTTTGGCATGAGAACAGTTACGGTTGGCGTACCGGATAACTCATCGGTTTGTGTGGTCTTGTGACGTCCTGCATAACTCGCTATCTGCTACGCTTGTATCGCTCGCTGCGTGCTGATGCGAAATGCGTAGCAAACTGTAAAGTTTTTACTGCCTTTCTTGTCAATTTCTTTAGGCCTAACCATGCAACAAATGGATGATTTGCTGAACATGTATGTGCCATTTGTTTGTGTTACAAAGCAAAATTAGCTGCAGAAATGAGGCTTTTATCAGAGACTGCCATTTTGGATTTCTACAACCACTGATAACAGTTTCCAATAGCTATTCGTATGCAGTGCTAAATCATATTGACAAAAACGGTTATGGATAGCGAAACGTATGCGTACACGTAATACACTTCATCCCAAGCTGTATATCCTCAGCATGCAAAAGCCTCAATTGAATTCATAATACATGTAAACTCAAGGGACACCTCATTTACGGCTGCAGTATATTCCAGTTTGGTAACTTCAACTTCGGATGCGCATATTGATATGGGTCGAGGGTCTTTTGAAATAATTGAAAGCTCATCAAAGGCGCATAAACGAGTAAAGAAACAGTCGCACAACGCCGCATGTTAATTACGAGCAGAATTGGCATTTGCATAACATCGCGGTTACAAGACGTTTGATGTCAGCCATTTTGTCCCCAAGGACCTTTGACCTGGACTACTTTATCGAGATACCGAACTGGCTTATTGTGGTAGCGACTGTGCAAAGAAATGCCCCATTCCTGCCGACAAGTTTGAGGTGTCCATCTGTTGCAATACAGAATGATTCAAATTGCGTTTTGCCCTTCACCGACATATTCCCTTCTGTTAATTGTTCGGTTTCGTTACATCAGAATCGAAGCAGCCAGCTGTCCCTGGTTCGAGTCCTACCCAGGCCTCGGACAACACAGTGTACAGTGTATAAAAAATATGTGAGTGAAGGGCAAAACCCAATATTGAATTCGGGCGTTTCACAATGCAGTGTGCATCCAAGAGTTTGCCACAGAGAGTTCATTTTTCCCGGTGCATTGTGGGAAATGGTCGACAAATTCGCAGCGCGGGACATTTGAAATCGTTAGTTTTTTTTTCTAGTCATTAGTTTCGAAAGCATGATTTGAGTATCTGTTTGCCCTTTTCGTTGTCTTTTATCAATACGGAGTTTTTTCTAAGGCGGCTGAATGCTATGCCCCAATCTATAAAAAAAATTAGCTCGTTGTCTACTGACACTCGTTCAAATGGGCCATGTTTTGTCGACCGTAAACTTGAATAATGGACTCTCCACAGCAAACTCTTGGTGGCGCACTGCATTGTGAAACGCCTGAATTCAAATTTCCCTGAGGTGTACTCCGTCCTTTAAATAATGCAGAATAATGTAATGAGGCATGCAAAAGTGGGACATTTTTAATAAGAAACATAAATACTCCATGCAATAATTTCGAGTACAAATTTAGCGAAATCTGAAGTGATTTTTGGGGACGGAAATCTACATTATTTAAAAAGATTCAAGCTACAAACGAAAGGACGACATTTTTGACATGCAAAGCAATCTATCAAATTGTGGACCTGTCTCTGGCGGCGGCTGATTGCCTGAGAGTTCCAATGTGAGCAGGAAAGAAACAAAGACAATTATCAACATTTTGTGACTTAAAATCGTCATCGATGCAGATTTAAGAGGAAAATACACAGGTTTATAATTTTATTTTCTAAACCCTCCCCCCCCCCCCCGTAACATTTTTAAAAAAATTCTTAGAAAACTTTAATCCCCCACCTTTGGGAGTTTCGACTCAATATAGATCCAAAGTTAAGATTTTGTTTCCATTGGTTTGAATGTTAAAGACTTCTACTAATTCTGAGTTAACACAAGGAGCCAATCTGGAAAAAAAATCTTAGATTTCCACACAGAAGTGAAGTGACTTACTTTTTAAACTCATCTCAAAAAAAGCTAGAGACTTTAATTTGAACTTCCAATCAGTATGCTCTGAATGCCATCAGTGAAATGATGGACATTAGAGAAAACTGACTGAAGCATTGTGCGAATAAAGAGTTTTGGCATGAGAACAGTTACGGTTGGCGTACCGGATAACTCATCGGTTTGTGACGTCCTGCATAACTCGCTATCTGCTACGCTTGTAT